ACTGCTGGTCTGTAACATTTCAGGTTTGATGATGGGGTACCTGTCTACTTTGTCATTTTGTACCAGTTCTTGGGGAAAATTTTGGAAATGCTAAATATAAAAGGAAAAACAGTCCAGCCTTTGGTACTATGGCAATTTAACAACTAATATGAATGGGTGAAAACCAGAATGGTTTAAGTGACATTTTATAAATTCTGAGGTAAACCTGTTTATTTTAGGCTATATTTCAGTGGCAATGTATTTTCATGGTTTTAACGAATAAGTGAAATGCCGTGGTTTCAATGATGAAACAAAGCACCATGACTTAAATTCTGATTCTGACACACACTGAATTTCACCCACTCATATATTCCCTCATCTCCCTGTTGGCATTCTAAATATTTAGTATCTACATTTTTGTCAGTAAATATCAAAGATTTAAATAAAAAAATTAGCAACATATCAATAGATTTTCAACGGGAAAGAAACTAAAGCTGGGATAATTGTTGAGCAGTATTTTATACCAGTTTATGTAGAAACAGATGAACTTCTAGCCTTTCAATCACTTCTCAGTCAAACACCAGAAATACTAACAAAGCATTTAATATGTTATAAAATCTCATAATATGGCAAACAAATATTATTGGATTTTGTAGATCTTGCAATATTCTTTTGGGAAGACATTTGTACAGGAGAAAACAATATTTACAGTCAACTGAAGAAATATTGCTGCCATTGGTTGTGACGCTCACATCATACAACAGCCTTCAAACTGCAGTTGATGAAAAAAAAATGTATAAACACACACACATTCATTTGGTTCAAATCACTCAACTAAAAGAGTTCTGTGCATTTGTAAATGTAGAACATAAAAAAGGTTCTCCAAAATGGCAACACATATTTTCTTTTGCTTCCAACTACTGTCAAAACAGGTTGGTACTTAACTTAAAATCTTTAAAGCATGAAATCCAATTTTGGTTCAGAACATCACAATCTAGAGATAAAACAGTTTTTTCATAATTGTGGAGATATGTGTTATTTGCACAAGGGCAACTCAATTATTATGGAAAGTACAAAGCCAAGTGCAATTGATATCAAGTGAAAATTAAAAATAACCCTGCAAAGGAGTGATAATTAATTTTCGTCTCCAATTAAAAAAAATAAAATAAAATAAAACAAAAGAAAAAAAAGGAACAAAAATAAAATTTTAAAGTGAGATTCACAATACAATAAAATAATGGGAGTATTAATATGAATACAATCCTGCCAAAGCTAACAGCATTTTATAATGCCCGACTCTTATATTGTGTAGAGTGAATACAGTTCCAGAAAAATAATCTTCTGGAATACAGATACATTTTTCAATTGGGAAAAAAAAAAAAAGAAGAGAGAGAGCCAGTTAAATAATAATTCTTCAAATTACAGAGTACCCCATGCCAGACTTATCTGCATCAGTGAAGAGAACAAATTAATGATAGCAGATATGCTCTGCTTATAGGCAGAATGGTGGAATCAACAGTAAGATCTTTATTCTACTGCAAAAAAACAGTGTTTTGGAATGAATTTTTCAATTAATTATTGTTTTATTAAAGGTCAACTTATTAAGACAATCGAAACGGATGGGATACCATCATCCAAATAAATGGATGGGATGAATAAAATAAAAAAATTGGGAGATTGAATCCAATTCAATTCGATTGTCGTAATAAGTGGAATATTAATAAAATAATAATTCTATGAACAACAACTAGTAATTTAAAGAGGGGGAGAGAAAAAAAGAAAGAATTTCAGAATTTTTCAGTGCCTAAGTAATCCAGTTAAGTCATCCAGTGAGAGAGAATTACGACACAAAATTCAAAACATCAATTTACTGACATTTTCAATGTGTTAAAAATTGAATACGGTTATAAACTGATACTTTTAATTTTGTGGATTTGCTCTTTCTCTCACTGAATGCCTCAATTTTAAGGATACTTTGAAATAAATATTCATAAAAAATATGTAAAATTTTCAAATAAATTCATGAAAATTTTATGAAGTTTGAAGAACCAATGATTTAATAAATCTGAAGATTAATTAGTAACAACATTAGCAATATTGCATATTATACAACAATATCAGTAATCATAAAATGTCTACAGTACTACAGCAAGTAAGTAAATAAGGGGAAGAAAAATATTTATAGAATTCAAAAAACCAAGCAGTAATAATTATAATGTTAAAATAACCATAATAATAATAATAATAATAATAATAATAATAATAATAATAATAATAATAATAATAATGTTTTAATTTTTAAAAAAGTGAAGATTTGAATGGGGGCAGATATATGATAAATATACTATGATAAAAAGCATAATTGAATAATGTATATATTTATGAATTAATTCTTCCCTTTGAACATCCCTTTGGTACCTCAATGCCTTAAGAAATCTAATTTCTCAATGCAAGATGCAATGATGATTGTTATAACACAATACAATTAAAGGAAATGTGATCGTACTAATGAATACAACAATAAAAACTGTCAATTAATCTTCAACATACCCTAATACTCAAAAATAAGCACTAAACTTGCCTAAAACGTGAAAAAAGGTACACCACATTTAACATTTGATATATGATTTAGAGAAGTTCTTTTTGTAAGAACAACTTCACAGGATGCCGTCATATCCAATGACAAAGGACCTCATTAATACTTATCTTTAATGCACGCATTTGTAACATAACTACTAAGAAATGTTGTATTTTCATGTACTCCAGTATCTCAAGGGATTATTGATGAAAAATGATTTAATTTCCCCAAAACATATCTTATTCTATTTCTGAACTCTATATTGAAGTAATAAAAATTAGTGAATAAATGAAAACTATAAAATGGATACATGGCATTGCCACCAACAACTGAAAACATTTCTCCTGAGCTTTCTTTTTAACAAAATTGTGTCTACTATGAAACTTGTGTATATCAATCTCACTAAAATTCTTAATGTATATATGTGACTTTGTGTATTTGTATATATGAACATACATCACATACACATATAAAAATTTAATTTGAATTTTCGAACAAATTCTGGTGACTTTTCTATCAATTGTTTTCCTTTGCTTTGGAATATCACTTTACAACAAATTACAATGCCAATTAACAGTCATGAAGTTCTGTACTTTGAAACTGAAATCAATGAACAAAATTTTTCTTCTTATAATTTAAAAGAGACTATAAAAACAAATGTTACAGAATGCATATTATTGTGCCTACAAACATAAGAAGGGGGGTTCGCACTTTTGTAAAGAGAGAAGAACCAAGGTGGAAGCACCAAGCAAACTTGGTGTAATAGCCAATTTATAACATAATAATATGATACAACTATGTCCCAGTGGTGTTGGCATCACAAACCCAACTACATGTGATGTCTCAAATTTCAAAAATACAAAATCTTAATTTTCCTCATTAAGTTCATAAATGTGAATTAACACAAAACCATTTTAAGACAGATCATAATACTTTAATTGCATGCCAACTGCGTCCAAATTCAACAAATTAACTATTTAAAATAATGTGTTAATTGTATACATTTGGCTGCACTTGGGATTTTTCATAGTCATGGATCTATATGCAAATATTTATGATTAAGGTACTATTATTTGTGTAGAGGTACGACTTTGTGTAGAGGTAAAACTGTCACATTATGCAAATCTCAATATAAAATTATTTTAGTTTCCTCAAATAAAAAGGTATTAGTGATGCAAACTGGTTACATTGAAAATATAATTTAATTATGTTATTCCTACTATAAAACACCTTGTCTTTCCCCTTTCATCCACATGATCTTCAATTCTATAATCGTCATTTAATTATAATTTTTTTATCCAATCTTGACATTTTGTGCTGAGATCTCTTGCCAGTATCTCTGTTGCTTAAGCGACACCAATGTGGGAGATTCATTTCATGTCATTAGTGTTTGTTGTTTGAGGTGGAAGATGAACTAGTGTGGTCTCATAGCAATGTAAGTATGAATATAGCAATAGACATTTAAAAATTAGTCTTTTGTATGTTGAACAAGTAGCCTTGGTGGCAAACAGACTTGAAAAATCATCCAAGCTGAAAGCAGGCCTGCAGATCCTGCGATAAACAAAAGAATTTTCATATTGGTTTGTGATTGGTTTCACATACCATCCACATTTCTCATCTGAGCATTATTCAATCCATTATCTTTCAACAATTATCCCTCTCAATCACCCATTTATCCTTCATACAGTGGAAGAAAAACCAATATAAGTGGAAGAAAAGAACAACTACCATAATCACCAGCCCAGGAAAAAAGGAGAAAGTGAAAATGTATGTCCTCCCTTGTCATCAGTCCAAATTGAGAAGGTATTTATTGTTATCACCTTTAACCAATGTAAATATTTGCACTAAGATCACATTAGTGAACCCGAGTGTGGAGAAGAATCACTATTTCGCAGCATGAAAAGTACAAAACATTATATTGAACATCAATGTTGGAGACCAAATCTCTTTTTTTCTATTTTGTATCTTTTCCCCTACTTTTTAAATATATTTGAACATCTTTTCCCATCTTTTTTTCTATAAAAATTGCTTTTAAAACTCACAACTCATACGGTAAAGTTGTGTATATTTTACTAACCACATCATCTTCAATTCACAGCTATGAAGACCAGAAAATTTTATTTTGCCACCTTAACACTGAAAAATTATTTTTTTAAGAAACTATTAAATAGCACTCCCACAAATTCAGTGCTAATCTAAATTGTACATAAAAACAAGCCAACTGAAAGTTTAAGCCACCTCTACAATGTAAACATCTCTTTTCTTTAGTTCTTCCTTTAGTTTTATCTGATTTTTAAATGTACCTTCAGCATTACTGACCTCTAATGTTAATAGAAATTTTGTCTATCAATCTTATTTGTCCATCACAAATAAAGTTTCTTTAGAACATATAAATATATATTGCATATAAATCCATGGAATTAAAACAAATAAAAGTACTTACCCACTGGAAGCAGGAACTGTTTTGCTTGTAGATGGCACAGCCTCTGGTGCTGCTTGCACTGATTCAACAGACTTCACTTGGATTGTCTGGATAGTCGGCACTGATTGAAGAACAACCTGAGTTACTTGAGGTTGAACACCGTCAAGAGAATGCTCTAAGGACTGTCCAGTCTGCAAACCTGATGGTCCTGGCTCTTCACAAGCCAATGTTACATTCACAAACGTTGTTGGTTCTAGTTCACCGTAACCATCCTCCTCTGATTCACCATCATCATTCCTACTATCTTTGTTGTCACCAATATTGTCATTAGCTGTCTCTTCTTCACTGTTAAATCCATCTTCATCACTATTATCTTCGGCATCACTTTGTTCCATATCATCCTGGGAACCTTCATTGTCCTGTTCTTTGCCGTGATCCGATACATGTTCTTGTTCTATTGTTTCCTCTTTTAGCATCACCTAAAAAGAGAAATTAAAAAGAAGATTTTTCTATTTACTTGACATGACTACTTGAACACAAAACTTCAAAATAGGCCTTTCCACAGAATTTCAGACCAAGATTCCTAAATAACCTAAATTCATCTACACATTTTTTCTTTAACTTTTTCAGTGGAAGTTCATTTGGACAAGTGCTCTCCCAAATTTCACACAAGAACTAGCTTCATATTTTGACATATTGTATCTTGAAACACACTGACAAAGTCTCAGGGTCAAAGTCTCAAAGTCAAAGAACGAGATGGTTTTCGTCTCATATTCTATCAATATGAAAAATTATTACAATAATTTGAGCAGTATAGAAGGGATTAGCTGTTCAAAATTACTTTAATTTTTATATAAAGGTTTTCAGAACCTACCTGTTCCGTTTCTATGGTGTTACTGTTGCCCAAGGAGAGATCATCATTTTTCTCAAATCCCTCAAGCCACTGCAATAATTTTTTTTCCGAGTTGGCAGTAGTATGCCAAAATTTGAAAACATTTTCAACATTGTACAAACATACATCACAGATCTTCTTCGGTAATTTGTCATCTTTCTCCACCTGAAACAAATTTTATTTGGCATAATCTTATTTGAAGTTATTATAAAGGTCCTTGATTTCTGAAATGTAGTGTTTCAAAATCTAGAGGGACTATAGAAAAGCACAAACTTTCTCCTATGACTAATTCATTCACTGGTTAAAGAACCCCACACACACACACACACACATACACACACACAAAAACTATAAATGGAAGAAAAATCTGTTCTTCAAGTAAGTAACAAAAAACTTGGCTGTTACCGGCCTACGTTTTACTTAGTACAAGAGCTTTGGGGAAGAATATCATGGATATACGATTTTTTTGAGTTATTAATGACGTTGTATAGTCAAATGACCTCTTTACCTTCTCGCTATTGCTTACACAGTATAGAGAAACTATTGTAATGCAGCGGGGGGGGGGGGCGAATTTTCGACATACTCTCATCGCTGGGCCCTAGTAACTAAAAAGTGGATAAATCTTCACCATACATATAGTAAATCACTTCATCTAACACGTTGTGTAGTCAGAATCCTTGTTTTGTGGGTCCTTGATACCGAAAAATCGATTGACGGCGAAACGTCTGCCCATGAATCTCTGCCCCAATACTGCCGGCTCAACAGTAAGCAAGATTTTCACACAAAATTGACATTCCCCAATCGATCTGAATGATATTGCAGCCCCTCGAATTTGAAACCGACATTTTAATTTTGAGGAATACTCTACATGAAGCCTTTGGAACATTTACAAAAAAGGCACCAAATTTTTTGATTAAATTGTGTTGTTGGTTGTGAAGGACGTTTAAGAGAATGGTGCAAGTCTCATGCTCATGCTTTATAACTGCCAATTATTCGAGAATTGTAAAAGATCAATTTTTTCTGAGTCTTCCTACAACTAAAATATTGAAGAAAGATTTTTTCTCAAATCTGATCTTTAAAGTCAGATTTTGAAAGAAAGTCATGTACAATTTTACGAAAATTTAAGTACTTTTCACAAAATTTTGCGTGAAAAAAGGCAACTTTTGAAATTATTTAAGTGTTTTTTTCCTTAAAAAAAAACAACCAATCTTTTAAATAAATTTTTGCGTCGGATAGCATAAAGAACGCTTAAGAGAATGATCCAGGTCTCATTTTAGGTAAAATCCCTGATTTTTCGAAAATTAATTTTTTTTTTTTTTTTTTTTTTGGCGTCTTCCTACAAGTACAATGATGATGACCTTAACGAAATGCGTTCAAAAGCATGTTCAATTTTTTGAAAGTGAGTATTTTTGTGAAATTTGCGTCAAACATTGGCATTTTTTTTCTTCACTTTTTAAATTATTTCTCAGAAACGGCTCTACTTTTTTTCTTTAATTTTTTTCACATATTATGAAACAAAGAACGGCAAACAATGTGCTGCTGGTCACATTTTCGGCGCAGTCTCCATATTTTCGGAAATAGGGAAAAATCGAAATAGTTAAGTCGAATTTCCCACGCTTCGTTTGAGGCGGTGTCAATTTATAACAAGATCGCTGCGTCGTATAGCTGCAATATACAATAATCTTAATTGAAATAAGTCCAATTAAGTTTTCTCTCTTAAAAATACGATTGAAATGTATCATGAAAGAAAAAAATTCGTACCATATTGTCACATAATGCAGCGATGGATATGTGAGAAGTCCTTCGTTGAACGGAGACATGATGGAAGAGATAAGTTAAAGCGGATTCATTTAGTTAGGGCCGAATTCATAGTCGTCACTTACACTGAGTGTTCCCTTAAGTACACGAATCGTATTCATAGACGGCTCTTAAGAGAAGTCTTAAGTGAGCACTCATTCCTATTAAGGGAGGCAGCCTGCCCTCTTAAGTTTCCCTTATGGCTCCCTCACATCGTCAGTCGTACCCAGTTTAGGTTATACTTTTACGTGGCGTTCCCCGACTATTGAATTCGTTTTGCTGGTGTTCGTATAGTGTAGCCAGTTAAAACGTTCCATATGTGAAACGTTATGGGAAACGACTTCCAAGATTATTTTGAATTTTATACTCAACGCATCCTGCGAAATTCAAAGATATATATAAAAGGTATGAGCAACCCATTGGACAGGTACAATGATAAACAATTCCGAAAGCGGTTTCGTTTCAATAAAACTACTGCACTGTATACACTTGTACCGATGATCGACGAAGTCCCAATGACTAAAAGAGTACTGCCGATTTCCCCCTTATTAAAAGTTCTCGTTGCATTAAGATTCTATGCAACTTCATCCTTTCAGATATGTTTCCAAAATGTTTAACTTTTATTTATTACTGATTTATAGGGCCTATTATAAGTAATTATGAATTCGCAATATGAATAACAAGTGAAGTAATTTAAATTCATGTAAAATGGAATTTATATTAATAGTATACGGGATTGACATTTTTATTACGTATGTCAATAATACATTACCAATTTTGGGAGGCCTACGTTCATACTATTTACAATAGTTATACTAGAGCATAAGTTAACGTTGTGCGATCAATTGAAACTAATGTTAAGTATTGTAAACACAACAAATGAGAAAGACAAGTGGTCGCAGCTCGCGTCGTCAACTCGACGTTGGGACTGTCTGCCCCCTCTTAAATTGGACGCCCTTTGCACAAGATGAAACTCTGTTGCCAAAAACTTCGAAACAGCTGCCGCCAATGCCATGTTGTCACATTTCCCTTCCGCTTAAGGGAACACTCATTCCGCGGTTGAAAGGAACGTCTATACAATACGAGCGCCTATAAGTGACGACTATGAATTCGGCCCTTAATGTTACAATGTTCTCTAAGTTAAATAAAATGGTACATTCAACTTCCGTGAAGTTAAGAAGTGTGTGTGTACATGTACATTCAGTATACACACATATAATAATAATAATAAAATAATAATAATAATACGTGTATGTGTTTATATATATATATATATATATATATATATATATATATATATATATATTGTAACGGCGAGCTGCGCGAATTGACGTAGAATTTCTAAAAATAATATCCGGACGCCCAGCGATGCCACAGATGCAGATGGAGATCGTAGGTACCCGCGACTCTTCGGTCTCCTAAGGCGAGGAGTCATGTTATGACAAGACACCCCCCCCGTAGAAGGGAGCCCTTTGTCGGCAACCGGGTCCCGCCGAGCTCTCGAGAGGGTGTCTTTCCGACGTTAATTACACCCACTTGAGGAGACAGATATACGACCCAACGGATTTCGACGCACGTGCGGGTTCGAAATGGGTAACGCCGATTTTTTTCGCTGGCCGCGACAAAAAGCTCGCCCGCGTCATTGGTCGAAGCTCCGCCCCACCGTGCTCCGCGAAATTCAATCTCGCGTATCGGGAGGATTCTCACTGGAGGAGGGGGGTACCGTGCCTTCATGATTCGGGAGAGCAGCTCCCACAGGGACTTCCTCTAAGAATTTTGCAGAGGGAGGTCGAGCCCGCGGACTGGCTTGAGAAATCTTGTGGAGGGAAGTCGAGCCCTATTCTCGCGAAAGGAGATATAGTTCCCGGAATGGGAAGTGTTCTCGCTGGACGTGAACTGCATTTACCAAGTATCGGTGCACAGTAGCACGCGTTCACGTGCCATAGGCCGACTTATCCCACCTACGATAGTCGATCGTCCGCGATTGCCTGATACGGAAGACGGATGACTTCCGATCTGTCATCGGCGATGCAAGCCGTAGCCGTCTGGAGACGTCATCTATGGGTCCTGCCTGAGGGGGCGACCACGCTAAACGTCCACGCTGAAGTGCAGCCGTTGTAATCTGCAGCTGTCTGGGGTCGGCCCGCTCTTGACGCCGATCAACAACCCCACCACTGGGCGTGCTGTGATGCCCGCCGACAACAAAAACAACAACAACAAAGGGTAATCATTCGCTTTGCTCCCGCTGGAATGCAGATGAACAATTATTGACCGAAGCTGGAGAGAGGATGCCTTCAGCACTAATATTCATGGCGGCCTATTAATTGAATTAAAGTTTATATAGAGTCAACCAAACAATTTAAATACAAACTCGCACTTGCCATAATTGTAAAATATCATGTAAATAACCCATTATTTATAATCATTTTAGATATTAAATGTTTGTCAAAGTTTAATGACTATCATTGAAAAATCTCAATCCCGCTCCAGAAGCCACACATGTGGTGTGTGTGTGTGTGTGTGTGTGTGTGTGTGTGGGCGCGCACACACACACGCAATGATATTGTAGTTTCGAATGCATTCGTAATGTGATATATTTGATCGTGAACAGTTCTGGATGTTCATTTTATTTGGGAAATTATTCTTGCTTGTGTATGTGAAAGATGTGCTGGAAATAATGAGAGTAGTTACAAATAACGAGAAACATGTGAGCTGCTATTTTTGGAATCAGATGAAATTAAAGGTACAGTAACATACTCTCGGCCTTGGAGTTATCCTGTACAAATCTTGCTATTGCCAGCTATGTTTCTCTTCGGGTACGATTGATAACCACGCAAAATCTTAAAATTTTGTCTCACACAACCACAAACAATTTAATGATAATTTATTATCGATGTAAACAATGAGGAATAACAGCAAACGAAGAAAGAAATGCACGGGAGCGGAAGTCAACCTAAACTAGTAATCACCAAATTATGAAAATGAAAAATCATATACGAGATTAAATTAATAATATTAAACCTTGTTTTTGTAAAGCAACACTCCCATCAGCGGCTTCTCCTGGACAACCAAGCTACTGATTCCGGCCGTGGAAGCCTACACTCTTAAAAGTTCCACCCTTCTCATTTAACTATTTATAAATAATCTATTATCTATTCTTCTATTCTATCGTCTCCTATATTTCAGTAGTATACATACCTTTTACAGCTTTCACATGCAGCCGATCTTTATAAATGAGGTCTCAAAAGAAAGGTGAGGAGACGTGACAAATAGCACTTTGATTCGAAAAATATTAAGGATTTGTTTTAAAAAAACGCCTCTAAATATTCATGTCAAATGCAACCCGCGGCACTCAGATATATACAAGC